AAATCACACCCCTTTAACCACACCCAAACTAAACCACACCCCTTTAGACACACCCAAACTAAACCACACCCTTTAACCACACCCAAACTAAACCACACCCCTTTAACCACACCCAAACTAAACCACACCCCTTGAACCACACCCAAACTAAACCACACCCATTTAACCACACCCCAAACTAAACCACACCCCTTTAGACACACCCAAACTAAACCACACCCCTTTAGACACACCCAAACTAAACCACACCCCTTTAACCACACCCAAACTAAACCACACCCCTTTAACCACACCCAAACTAAACCACACCCCTTTAACCACACCCAAACTAAACCACACCCCTTTAATCACACCCAAACTAAACCACACCCCTTTAGACACACCCAAACTAAACCACACCCCTTTAGACACACCCAACCTAAACCACACCCTTGAACCACACCCAAACTAAACCACACCCCTTTAACCACACCCTAAACTAAACAACGCCCCTTTAGACACACCCAAACTAAACCACACCCCTTTAACCACACCCAAACTAAACCACACCCTTTAGACACACCCAAACTAAACCACACCCCTTTAGACACACCCAAACTAAACCACACCCCTTCAGCCACACCCAAACTAAACCACACCCCTTCAGCCACACCCAAACTAAACAACGCCCCTTTAGACACACCCAAACTAAACCACACCCTTTAGACCACACCCAAACTAAACCACACCCCTTAGACACACCCAAACTAAACCACACCCTTTAATACACCCAAACTAAACCACACCCCTTTAGACCACACCCAAACTAAACCACGCCCCTTTAATCACACCCAAATAAACCACGCCCCTTTAACTACACCCAAACTAAACCACACCCCTTGAACCACGCCCAAACTAAACCACGCCCCTTTAACCACACCCAAATAAACCACACCCCTTTAACCACACCCAAACTAAACCACACCCCTTTAACCACACCCAAACTAAACCACACCCCTTTAACCACACCCAAACTAAACCACGCCCCTTTAGACACACCCAAACTAAACCACACCCCTTTAACCACACCCAAACTAAACCACACCCCTTTAGACACACCCAAACTAAACCACACCCCTTTAGACACACCCAAACTAAACCACACCCCTTTAACCACACCCAAACTAAACCACACCCCTTGAACCACACCCCTTTAACCACACCCCTTTAGACACACCCAACCTAAACCACACCCCTTTAGACACACCCAAACTAAACCACACCCCTTTAACCACACCCAAACTAAACCACGCCCCTTTAGACACACCCAAACGAAACCACACCCCTTTAACTACACCCAAACTAAACCACACCCCTTTAACCACACCCAAACTAAACCACACCCCTTTAGACACACCCAAACTAAACCACGCCCCTTTAACCACACCCCAAACTAAACCACACCCCTTTAGACACACCCAAACTAAACCACACCCCTTTAGACACACCCCACCTAAACCACACCCCTTTAACCACACCCAAACTAAACCACACCCTTTTAACCACACCCAAACTAAACCACGCCCCTTTAACCAACCACAGCCCTTTAACCACACCCAAACTAAACCACACCCCTTTAGACACACCCAAACTAAACCACGCCCCTTTAACCACACCCAAACTAAACCACACCCCTTTAACCACACCCAAACTAAACCACACCCCTTTAACCACACCCAAACTAAACCACACCCCTTTATCCACACCCAAAATAAACCATGCCCCTTTAGACACACCCAACCGAAACCACGCCCCTTTAACCACACCCAAACTAAACCACACCCCTTTAACCACACCCAAACTAAACCACACCCCTTTAGACACACCCAAACTAAACCACACCCCTTTAACCACACCCAAACTAAACCACACCCCTTTAACCACACCCAACCCAAACCACGCCCCTTTAGACACACCCAAACTAAACCACACCCCTTTAGACACACCCAAACTAAACCACACCCATGTCCTGGAAGCCCCTCCCACCCCACCTGGAGCCACACCCACCCACCTGGAGCCACACCCACCCCACCTGGAGCCACACCCACCACCCAGAGCCACACCCACCTGGAGCCACACCCACCCCCAGAGCCACACCCACCCCATCTCGAGCCACACCCACCCACCTGGAGCCACACCCACCCACCTGGAGCCACACCCACCAACCTGAAGCCCCACCCACCCCATCTCGAGCCACACCCACCCACCTGGAGCCACACCCACCCAACCTGGAGCTCCTCTGACCCACCTGAGCCCCTCCCACCCACCTGGAGCCACACCCACCCACCTGGAGCCACACCCACCCACTGCATCCACACCCACTCTCCTGGAGCCACACCCACCCCACCTGGAGCTCCTCCCACCTCACCTGCAGCCACACCCACCCCACCTGGAGCCACACCCACCCCACCTGGAGCCACACCCACCCCCAGAGCCACACCCACCTGCAGGAGGGCGCTGTTGAGCTGCCTCTGGAGCAGGTCCCTCTCGTGGGCCAGGTCCCTGAGCCGCAGGTGAGCCCCTCCCACCCCACCTGGAGCTCCTCCCATCACACCTGGAGCCACACCCACCTCACCTGGAGCCACACCCACCCACCTGGAGCCACACCCACCCCACCTGGAGCTCCTCCCATCCATCTGCAGCCCCTCCCACCCCCCAGAGCCACACCCACCCCACCTGGAGCTCCTCCCACCCCACCTGGAGCCCCTCCCACCCCACCTGGGGCCACACCCACCTGTGGGAGGGCGCTGTTGAGCTGCCTCTGGAGCAGGTCCCTCTCGTGGGCCAGGTCCCTGAGCCTCAGGTGAGCCCCTCCCACCCCACCTGGAGCCCCTCCCACCACACCTGGAGCTCCTCCCACCCCACCTGGAATCACACCCACCCCACCTGGAGCCACACCCACCTGCGGGAGGGCGCTGTTGAGCGGCCTCTGGAGCAGGTCCCGCTCGTGGGCCAGGTCCCTGAGCCTCAGGTGAGCCCCTCCCACCCCACCTGGAGCTCCTCCCATCACACCTGGAGCTCCTCCCATCACACCTGGAGCCACACCCACACACCCACCTGTGGGAGGGCGCTGTTGAGCTGCCTCTGGAGCAGGTCCCTCTCGTGGGCCAGGTCCCTGAGCCTCAGGTGAGCCCCTCCCACCCCACCTGGAGTCACACCCACCACACCTGGAGCTCCTTACACCCCACCTGCAGCCACACCCACCCACCTGGAGCCACACCCACCCCACCTGGAGCCACACCCACCCCCCCAGAGCCACACCCACCTGGGGCAGGGCGCTGTTGAGCTGCCTCTGGAGCAGGTCCTGCTCGTGGGCCAGGTCCCTGAGCCTCAGGTGAGCTCCTCCCACCACACCTGGAGCTCCTCCCACCCCACCTGGAATCACACCCACCCCACCTGGGGCACACCCACACACCCACCTGTGGGAGGGCGCTGTTGAGCTGCCTCTGGTGCAGGTCCCGCTCGTGCGCCAGGTCCCTGAGCCTCAGGTGAGCCCCTCCCACCACACCTGGAGCTCCTCCCATCACACCTGGAGCCACACCCACCCCCCCAGAGCCCCACCCACCCCACCTGGAGCCACACCCACCCACCTGGAGCCACACCCACCCCACCTGCAGCCACACCCACCCACCTGGAGCCACACCCACTCACCTGGAGACACACCCACCCCACCTGCAGCCACACCCACCCACCTGGAGCCACACCCACTCACCTGGAGACACACCCACCCCACCTGGAGCCACACCCACCCCACCTGGAGGACCTCCCACCTCACCTGCAGCCACGCCCACCTCACCTGGAGCCACACCCACACACCTGGGGCCACACCCACCCACCTGGAGCCACACCTACCCCACCTGGAGCCACACCCACCCCCTGCAGCCACACCCACCCCCCCAGAGCCACACCCACCTGTGGGAGGGCGCTGTTGAGCTGCCTCTGGAGCAGGTCCCGCCGTGGGCCAGGTCCCTGAGCCTCAGGTGAGCCCCTCCCACCCATCTACAGCCACACCCACCCACCTGGAGCCACACCCACCCCCGAGCCACACCCACCACACCTGGAGCCACACCCACCCCCACCTGGAGCTCCTCCCACCCCCAGTGCCACACCCACTTGCGGCAGGGCGCTGTTGAGCTGCCTCTGGAGCAGGTCCCTCTCGTGGGCCAGGTCCCTGAGCCTCAGGTGAGCCCCTCCCACCACACCTGCAGCCCCTTCCACCTCACCTGGAGTCACACCCACCCCACCTGGAGCCACACCCACCTGTGGGAGGGCGCTGTTGAGCTGCCTCTGGAGCAGGTCCTCTCGTGGGCCAGGTCCCTGAGCCTCAGGTGAGCCCCTCCCACCACACCTGCAGCCCTTCCACCTCACCTGGAGTCACACCCACCCCACCTGGAGCCACACCCACCTGTGGAGGGGCGCTGTTGAGCTGCCTCTGGAGCAGGTCCCTCTCGTGGGCCAGGTCCCTGAGCCTCAGGTGAGCCCCTCCCACCACACCTGCAGCCCCTTCCACCTCACCTGGAGTCACACCCACCCCACCTGGAGCCACACCCACCTGTGGGAGGGCGCTGTTGAGCTGCCTCTGGAGCAGGTCCCTCTCGTGGGCCAGGTCCCTGAGCCTCAGGTGAGCCCCTCCCACCACACCTGGAGCTCCTCCCACCCACCTGGAGCTCCTTACACCCACCTGGAACCACACCCACCCACCTGGAGCCACACCCACCTGCGGGAGGGCGCTGTTGAGCTGCCTCTGGAGCAGGTCCCGCTCGTGGGCCAGGTCCCTGAGCCTCAGGTGAGCCCCTCCCACCCCACCTGGAGCTCCTCCCACCCCACCTGGAGCTCCTCCCATCACACCTGGAGCTCCTTACACCCCACCTGGAGCTCCTCCCATCACACCTGGAGCTCCTTACACCCCACCTGGAGCTCCTCCCATCACACCTGGAGCCACACCCACACACCCACCTGCGGGAGGGCGCTGTTGAGCTGCCTCTGGAGCAGGTCCCTCTCGTGGGCCAGGTCCCTGAGCCTCAGGTGAGCCCCTCCCACCCCACCTGGAGCTCCTCCCATCACACCTGGGGCCACACCCACACACCCACCTGTGGGAGGGCGCTGTTGAGCTGCCTCTGGAGCAGGTCCCTCTCGTGGGCCAGGTCCCTGAGCCTCAGGTGCGCCGTCGCCAGCCCCTCCTGGGTGTCCCGCAGGGTCTCGAGGAGCCGCTCGCGCTCCCGCAGCATCTGCACCATCAGCTGCTCCAGCCCCGGCTCCTCCGCAGCCCCCGAGCCCCGCCGGGGGTCCTCGCTGATGGTGGGCAGCACCTCGCACATCATCCTGGGTTGGGGGCACACCTGGGCACACCTGGGCACACCTGGGCACACCTGGAGACACCTGGGCACACCTGGGCACACCTGGGACACCTGGGACACAGGATATGGGGTCAGAACCAGCCCTAAATTCCCCCCAGGGGTCCTCGCTGATGGTGGGCAGCACCTCGCACATCATCCTGGATTAGGGGTACACCTGGGCACACCTGGGCACACCTGGGCACACCTGGGACACAGGACAGGGGGTCAGCACCATCAGCCCTGGGGGTTTGGGGGTCCCTAATCACCCCCGGGGGTCCTCACTGATGGTGGGCAGCACCTCGCACATCATCCTGGATTGGGGTCACACCTGGGCACACCTGGGCACACCTGGAGACACCTGGGCACACCTGGAGACACCTGGGCACACCTGGGACACAGGACAGGGGGTCAGCATCAGGAGCTGATACAGCCCTGACCCCCCCGGGGGTCCTCGCTGATGGTGGGCAGCACCTCGCACATCATCCTGGATTGCACACCTGGGCACACCTGGGCACACCTGGGCACACCTGGGCACACCTGGGGCACACCTGGGCACACCTGGGACACCTGGGACACAGGACAGGGGGTCAGCATCAGGAGCTGATACAACCCTGACCCCGCCGGGGGTCCTCGCTGATGGTGGGCAGCACCTCGCACATCATCCTGGGGGGGGGTCACACCTGGGCACACCTGGGCACACCTGGGCACACCTGGGCACACCTGGGACACCGGATATCAGAATCAGTCCTAAATCCCCCCCGGGGGTCCTCGCTGATGGTGGGCAGCACCTCGCACATCATCCTGGGTTGGGGGCACACCTGGGCACACCTGGGCACACCTGGGCACACCTGGAGACACCTGGGCACACCTGGGCACACCTGGGCACACCTGGGCACACCTGGAGACACCTGGGCACACCTGGGCACACCTGGGCACACCTGGAGACACCTGGGCACACCTAGAGACACCTGGGACACAGGATATGGGGTCAGAACCAGTCCTAAATCCCCCCCGGGGGTCCTCGCTGATGGTGGGCAGCACCTCGCACATCATTCTGGGGAACACCTGGGCACACCTGGGCACACCTGGGGCACACCTGGGCACACCTGGGGCACAGGACAGGGGGTCAGCATCAGGAGCTGCTACAGCTCTGAGGGTTTGGAGATCCCTAATTCCCCCCTGGGGGGTCCTCGCTGATGGTGGGCAGCACCTCGCACATCATCCTGGGTTGGGGGCACACCTGGGCACACCTGGGCACACCTGGGCACACCTGGGCACACCTGGGACACAGGACAGGGGGTCAGCACCATCAGCCCTGGGGGTTTGGGGGTCCCTAATCACCCCGGGGGTCCTCGCTGATGGTGGGCAGCACCTCGCACATCATCCTGGGTTGGGGGCACACCTGGGCACACCTGGGCACACCTGGGCACACCTGGGACACAGGACAGGGTAAAGGGTCAGCACCAGCCCTGACCCCCCCGGGGGTCCTCGCTGATGGTGGGCAGCACCTCGCACATCATCCTGGATTCACCTGCCTGCACCTGGGCACACCTGGGCACACCTGGAGACACCTGGGCACACCTGGGACACAGGACAGGGGGTCAGCATCAGGAGCTGATACAACCCTGACCTCCCCGGGGGTCCTCGCTGATGGTGGGCAGCACCTCGCACATCATCTTGGGGGGTCACCTGGGCACACCTGGGCACACCTGGGCACACCTGGGCACACCTGGGACACAGGATAGGGGGTCAGAACCAGCCCTAAATCCCCCCCCGGGGGTCCTCGCTGATGGTGGGCAGCACCTTGCACATCATCCTGGATTCACCTGGGCACACCTGGGCACACCTGGGCACACCTGGAGACACCTGGGCACACCTGGGCACACCTGGGCACACCTGGGACACAGGACATGGGGTCAGAACCAGCCCTAAATCCCCCCCGGGGGTCCTCGCTGATGGTGGGCAGCACCTTGCACATCATCCTGGGGGGTCACCTGGGCACACCTGGGACACCTGGGCACACCTGGGCACACCTAGAGACACCTGGGACACAGGACAGGGGGTCAGCATCAGGAGCTGATCCAGCTCTGAGGGTTTGGAGATCCCTAATTCCCCCCTGGGGGTCCTCGCTGATGGTGGGCAGCACCTCGCACATCATCCTGGGGGTCACCTGGAACACACCTGGGCACACCTGGGCACACCTGAAGACACCTGGGTGGAACGGGAGATGGGGTTGGTACAGGGAACACCAGGAGATGCAGCAACCCTGACCCCCCCGGGGGTCCTCACTGATGGTGGGCAGCACCTCGCACATCATCTTGGATTCACCTGCCCGCACCTGGGCACACCTGGGCACACCTGGGCACACCTGGGGCACAGGACAGGGTACAGGATCAGAACCAGCCCTGACCCCGCCAGGGGTCCTCACTGATGGTGGGCAGCACCTCGCACATCATCCTGGGGGGTCACCTGCCCGCACCTGGGCACACCTGGGCACACCTGGGCACACCTGGAGACACCTGGGACACAGGACAGGGGGTCAGCATCAGGAGCTGATACAACCCTGACCCCCCCGGGGGTCCTTGCTGATGGTGGGCAGCACCTCGCACATCATTCTGCAGCACACCTGGGCACACCTGGGCACACCTGGGCACACCTGGGCACACCTGGAGACACCTGGGCACACCTGGGACACTGGGCACACCTGGGACACAGGATATGGGTCAGAACCAGCCCTAAATCCCCGGGGGTCCTCTGATGGTGGGCAGCACTGCACGATCATCCTGGATTGGGCACACCTGGGCACACCTGGAGACACCTGGGCACACCTGGGACACAGGACAGGGGGTCAGCACCAGCCCTGACCCCGCCAGGGGTCCTCACTGATGGTGGGCAGCACCTCGCACATCATCCTGGGGGGTCACCTGCCCGCACCTGGGCACACCTGGGCACACCTGGGCACACCTGGGACACCTGGGACACAGGACAGGGGTCAGCATCAGGAGCTGATACAGCCCTGACCCTGGGGTCCTTGCTGATGGTGGGCAGCACCTCGCACATCATTCTGCAGCACACCTGGGCACACCTGGGCACACCTGGGCACACCTGGGCACACCTGGAGACACCTGGGCACACCTGGGCACACCTGGGCACACCTGGGACACAGGATATGGGGTCAGAACCAGCCCTAAATCCACCCTGGGGGTCCTCGCTGATGGTGGGCAGCACCTCGCACGTCATCCTGGATTGGGGTCACACCTGGGCACACCTGGGCACACCTGGGCACACCTGGGCACACCTGGGCACACCTGGGGCACAGAACAGGGGGTCAGCACCATCAGCCCTGGGGGTTTGGGGGTCCCTAATCACCCCCGGTGTCCTCACTGATGGTGGGCAGCACCTCGCACATCATCCTGGAGGTGGGGGTCACACCTGGGCACACCTGGGCACACCTGGGCACACCTGGGCACACCTGGGACACAGGACATGGGGTCAGAACCAGCCCTAAATCCCCCCCGGGGGTCCTCGCTGATGGTGGGCAGCACCTCGCACATCATCCTGGGGGCACACCTGGGAACACCTGGGCACACCTGGGCACACCTGGAGACACCTGGGTGGGACAGGGTAAAGGGTCAGCACCAGCCCTGACCCCCGGGGGTCCTCGCTGATGGTGGGCAGCACCTCCCTCATCATCCTGGGGGGGGGTCACACCTGGGCACACCTGGGCACACCTGGGCACACCTGGGCACACCTGGGACACAGGACAGGGGTCAGCATCAGGAGCTGCTCCAGCCCTGACCCCCCCAGGGGTCCTCGCTGATGGTGGGCAGCACCTCACACATCATCCTGGATTCACCTGCCTGCACCTGGGCACACCTGGGCACACCTGGGACACAGGATATGGGGTCAGCATCAGCCCTAAATCCACCCTGGGGGTCCTCGCTGATGGTGGGCAGCACCTCGCACATCATCCTGGGGGGTCACCTGGGCACACCTGGGCACACCTGGGCACACCTGGGCACACCTGGGCACACCTGGGCACACCTGGGACACAGGACAGGGGGTCAGAACCAGCCCTAAATCCCCCCTGGGGTCCTCGCTGATGGTGGGCAGCACCTCGCACATCATCCTGGATTCACCTGCCTGCACCCCCCCCTTAGGGGGACGAGGGTGGGACTGGGGGACCAGGGATGGGATGGGGGGGTCACCAGTGGGATGTGGATGCCGGGGATGGGACAGGGGGGCCAGGGATGAGGGGGTCACCAGTGGGATGGGGATGCCAAGGGTGGGACTGGGGGGGCCGGGGATGGGATGGGGGTGGTCTCGGGTGGGATGGGGATGCCAGAGGTGGGATTAGGGGGCCGAGGGTGGAATGAGGGGGCTGGGGATGGGATGAGGGGGTCACCAGTGGGATGAGGATGCCAGGGATGAGATGGGGGTCACCAGTGGGATGGGGATGCCAGGGATGAGATGGGGGTCACCAGTGGGATGGGGATGCCAGGAGTGGGATTAGGGGCCGAAGGTGGGATGAGGGGGCCAAAGGTGGGATAGGGGTCACCAGTCGGATGTGGATGCCAAGAGTGGGATGAGGGGGCCGGGGATGGGATGGGGGTCGCGGGTGGGATGGGGATGCTGAGGGTGGGATGGGGGTTCACGGGTGAGATCAGGGGGTCAGGGGTGGGATAGGGGATGCCAAGGGTGGGATTGGGGGACTGGGGATGGGATGGGGGTTCACCAGTGGGATGGGAATGCCAGAGGTGGGATGGGGGTCATGGGTGAGATGAGGGGGTCACAGGTGGGATGAGGGGGTCGTGGATGGGATGGAGGGGTCCGGGGATGGGATGGGAATGCCGAGGGGCAGTGGGATGTGGATACCAAGGGTGGGATGAGGGGCCAGGGATGGGATGAGGGGTCAGGGTGGGATGAGGATGCCAGGGTGGGATTGGGGGTTGCAGATGAGATGGGGGATCAGCAGTGGGATGTGGATGCCGAGGGTGGGATTGGGGGCCGGGGATGGGATGGGGGGTCGTGGGTGGGATGGGGATGCTGAGGGTGGGATGGGGTTCACGGGTGAGATCAGGGGTCAGGGGTGGATGGGGATGCCAAGGGTGGGATTGGGGGCCGGGGATGGGATGGGGTTCACCAGTGGGATGGGAATGCCAGAGGTGGGATGGGGGTCACGGGTGGGATCAGGGGTCACGGGTGGGTTGAGGGGGTCGTGGATGGGATGGAGGGGTCCGGGGTGGGATGGGAATGCCGAGGGGCAGTGGGATGTGGATACCAAGGGTGGGATGGGGGGTCACAGGTGAGATCAGGGGGTCAGGGGTGGGATGGGGATGCCGAGGTGGGATTGGGGGTCGTGGATGAGATGGGGGTCACCAGTGGGATGTGGATGCTGGGGATGGGATGGGATGGGGATGCCGGGAGTGGGATGAGGGGGCCAAGGGTAGGATGAGGGGGTCATGAATGGGACGAGGGGGCCAGGGATGGGATGGGATGGGGAGGTCACCAGTGGGGTGAGGATGCCACGGGTGGGATGAGGATGCTGAGGGTGGGATGGGGGGTTGCGGTGGGACAGGGGGTCGGGGGATGGGATGGGGGTCACGGGTGGGATGGGGATGCTGAGGGTGGGATAGGGGGTCAGGGGTGGATGAGGGGGTCAGGGGTGGGATGGGGATGCCGAGGGTGCGATTGGGGGACCGGGGATGGGATGAGGGGGCACCAGTGGGGTGAGGATGCCGGGATGGGATTGGGGGTCCGGGGATGAGATGAGGATGCCAGGGATGAGATAGGGGGGTCACCAGTGGGATGGGGATGCCGGGAGTGGGATTAGGGGGCTGAAGGTGGGATGAGGGGATGGGGGTGGATGAGGGGGTCACCAGTGGGGTGAGGATGCCAGGGGTGGGATGAGGATGCTGAGGGTGGGATTGAGGGTCGTGGATGGGATAAGGGGCTGTGGATGGGATGGGGATGCCAGGGGTGGGATGAGGGGGCTGAGGGTGGGATGAGGGGGTCATGAATGGGATGAGGGGGTCATGAATGGGATGAGGGGGCTCGGGATGGGATGAGGATGCCAAGGGTGAGATGAGGGGCTGAAGGTGGGATGAGGGGTTGGGGATGGGATGAGGGGGTCACCAGTGGATGGGGATGCCAAGGGTGGGATGAGGGGGTCACGGGTGGGATGAGGAGGCCGAGGGTGGGATTGGGGGTCAGGGGGTGGGATGAGGGGGCCGGGGGTGGGATGGGATGCTGAGGGTGGGATTGGGGGCCGAGGGTGGGATGAGGGGGCCATGAATGGGATGAGGGGGCCAGGGATGAGATGAGGGGGTCACAGGTGGGATGGGGATGCCGAGGGTGGGATTGGAGGGGCTGGGGATGAGATGAGGGGGTCACCAGTGGGATGAGGATGCCAAGGGTGGGACTGGGGGCCAGGGATGGGATGGGGGGTCGCAGGCGGGATGGGGATGCCGAGGGTGGGATGAGGGAGATGACGAATGGGATCAGGGGTCAGCGGGTGGGATGGGGATGCTGAGGGTGGGATTGAGAGGCCTGGGGATGGGATGAGGGGTTCACCAGCGGGATGGGGATGCCAGAGGGTGGGATTGGGGGTCACGGTGGGATCGGGGGGTCACGGGTGGGTTGAGGGGGTCGTGGATGGGATGGAGGGGTCTGGGATGGATGAATGGAGGGTGGATCAGGGGCCAGATGGATGGGGCACCAGTGGGATGTGGATGCCGAGAGTGGGATTGGGGGACCGGGATGAGATCAGGGGGTCTAGGGTGGGATGGGGATGCCAGGGTGGGATTGGGGGTCGTGGATGGGATGGGGGTCACCAGTGGGATGGGGATGCCGGGGATGGGATTGGGGATGCCGGGGATGGGATGGGGGCCAAGGGTAGGATGAGGGGGCCATGAATGGGACAGGGGGCCAGGGATGGGATGGGATGGGAGGTCACCAGCGGGGATGAGGATGCCACGAGGTGGGATGAGGATGCTGAGGGTGGGATGGGGGGTGCGGTGCGGGTGGGACCAGGGGGGTCTGAGGGGATGGGATGGGGATGTGAGGGTGGGATGGGGATGCTGAGGGATGGGATGAGGGGGTCAGGGGTGGGATGAGGAGGTCGATGGGGGTGGGATCAGGGGATGAGGTGCCGATGGTGCGATTGGGGGACCGGGGATGGGATGAGAGGGGTCACCAGTGGGATGGGGATGCCGAGGGTGGGATTGGGGGTCAGGGATGAGATGAGGATGCCAGGGATGGATAGGGGGTCACCAGTGGGATGGGATGCCGGGGATGGGAGTGGGGATGCTGAGGGTGGGATGAGGGGACTGAGGGTGGGATGAGGGGGTCATCAAGTGGGGTGAGGATGCCAGGGGTGGGATGAGGATGCTGAGGGTGGGATTGGAGGGTCGTGGATGGGATAGGGGCTGTGGATGGGATGGGGATGCCAGGGGTGGGATGAGGGGGCTGAGGGTGGGATAGGGGGTCATGAATGGACGAGGGGGTCATGAATGGGATGTGAGAGGCCGGGATGGGATGAGGGATGCCAAGGGTGGGATGGGGAGCTGAAGGTGGGATGAGGGGGTTGGGGATGGGATGAGGGGTCACCAGTGGGATGGGGATGCCAAGGAGTGGGATGAGGGGGTCACGGGTGGGATGAGGAGGCCGAGGGTGGGATTGGGGGTCGGGGGTGGGATGAGGGGCCGGGGGTGGGATGGGGATGCTGAGGGTGGGATTGGGGGGGCCGAGGGTGGGATGAGGGGTCATGGATGGGATGAGGGGCCAGGGGATGAGATGAGGGGGTCACAGGTGGGATGGGGATGCCGAGGGTGGGATTGGAGGAGGCTGGGGATGAGATGAGGGGTCACCAGTGGGATGAGGATGCCAAGGGTGGGACTGGGGGGCCAGGGATGGGATGGGGGTCACAGGCGGGGTGAGGATGCCAAGGGTGGGATGAGGGAGATGAGAATGGGATGGGGGGTCACCAGTGGGATGGGGATGCTGAGGGTGGGATGAGAGGCCTGGGGATGGGATGAGGGGGTCACCAGCGGGGTGAGGATGCTGAGGGTGGGATTGGGGGGTCACGGGTGGGATGGGGGTCACAGGTGGGTTGAGGGGGTCGTGGATGGAACGGAGGGGTCTGGGAATGGGATGGGAATGCCGAGGGTGGGATCAGGGGCCAGGGATGGGATGGGGGTCACCAGTGGGATGTGGATGCCGGGAGTGGGATTGGGGGACCGGGGATGGGATGGGGGTGGTCTCAGGTGGGATGGGGATGCCAGAGGTGGGATGGGGGTCACGGGTGGGATCAGGGGTCAGGGTGGGATGGGGATGCCAAGGGGTGGGATTGGGGGACTGGGGATGGGATGGGGGGTTCACCAGTGGGATGGGAATGCCAGAGGGTGGGATGGGGGTCACCAGTGGGATGGGAATGCCAGAGGTGGGATGGGGGTCACCAGTGGGATGTGGATGCCAAGGGTGGGATGAAGGGGTCAAGGGTGGGATCAGGGGTTCAGGGGTGGGATGTGGATGCCAGAGGTGGGATTGGAGGGACCGGGGATGGGATGAGGGGGTCACAGGTAGGATGAGGATGCCGGGGATGAGATGGGGGGTCACCAGTGGGATGAGGATCCCGATGGTGGGATTGGGAGGTCGCGGATGGGATGGGGGGTCACCAGTGGGATGGGGATGCCGAGGGTGGGACTGGGGGGCTGGGGATGGGATGGGGGTCACCAGTGGGATGGAGATGCTGGGGATGGGATGGGGATGCCGGGAGTGGGATTAGGGGGCCGAGGGTGGGATGAGGGGGTCAAGGGTGGGATCAGGGGGTCAGGGTGGGATGTGGATGCTGAGGATGGGATGAGGTGGTCGTGGATGAGATGGGGATACCAAGGGTGGGATGAGGATGCCGAGGGTGGGATGAGGGGGCCGGGGATGAAATTGGGGGTCTCGTGAATGGGACGAGGGGGTCGGGGATGGGATGTGGATGCCGAGGGTGGGATGGGGATGCTGGGAGTGGGATGGGGATGCCAAGGGTGGGATGGGGGCCAGGGTGGGATTGAGGGGGTCACAGGTGGGTTTGGGGGTCAGGGGTGGGATGTGGATGTCGAGGATGGGATGAGGGGCCGAGGTGAGATGAGGGGCCGGGGATGAGATTGGGGGCTCGTGGAATGGGACGAGGGGGCCGGGAGTGGGATGGGGATGCCGAGGGTGGGATTGGGGGGGGTCTCAGATGGGATGAGGATGCCAAGGGTGGGATGAAGGGGTCAAGGGTGGGATCAGGGGGTCAGAGGTGGGATGTGGATGCCGAGGATGGGATGGGGATGCTGGGGATGGGATGGAGGGGTCACCAGTGGGATGAGGATGCCGGGGGTGAGATGTGGATGCCGAGGGTGGGATGAGGGGGCCGGGGATGAGATTGGGGGGCTCGTGAATGGGATGAAGATGCCGGGGATGGGACGAGGATGCCGAGGATGAGATGGGGATGCCGGGGATAGGATGGGGATGGGATTAGGGGGGTGATGGATGAGATGGGGATAACGAAGGTGGGATGTGGATGCCAGGGATGGAATGAGGATCCCGATGTTGGGAAGGGGATGCCGAGAGTGGGACGAGGATGCCGTGGATGGGACGAGGATGCCGAGGATGAGGATGAGGATGCCGTGGATGAGGATGAGGATGCCGTGGATGGGATGAGGATGCCGTGGATGAGGATGCCGTGGATGAGGATGAGGATGCCGTGGATGGGATGAGGATGCCGTGGATGAGGATGAGGATGCCGTGGATGAGGATGAGGATGCCGTGGATGGGATGAGGATGCCGTGGATGAGGATGAGGATGCCGTGGATGGGATGAGGATGCCGTGGATGGGATGAGGATGCCGTGGATGGGATGAGGATGCCGTGGATGAGGATGAGGATGCCGTGGATGAGGATGAGGATGCCGTGGATGAGGATGAGGATGCCGTGGATGTGGCCGGGGGAAGATGATGTCGCGGGTAGGGGGCTCGGGGTGGGGTGGGCTCGGGCCCTGTTCCTACCTGTGCTCCGAGCGGCGCTGCGGCAGCTCCGGCGGAGGAGGCGGCCCGGCGGGGAGGGGGCCCCGCTGCCGATGGGGCGATGATGGGGGTGGGGTGTTGTGGGGGTCGTATCTGTCGCCCCCGCACCTGTTGAGACCCCCACGGCGCCCCGGGCCCGCCCGAGCCCCGCGGTCGCCGCCTCGGCCCCCTCCCCTCCCCACCAAAGTATCGACACCTCCCCCTCCCCCGCTTCTTCCTCCAAAAAAACGGCGCGGGCCCTTTAAGAGCGGCGTTGATTGACAGCCCGGTCGACCAATGGGAGCGCGCGAGAGCCCGGCCGAGCTCAAGCCCCGCCCCCGCGCCGGGTGGGAGGAGGGGCAGGGCCGAGGAAAGAGGAGCCAATGGGAAGCGGCGGGGGCGGGGCCAAGGTGGGGTGATGTCATCGGGCAGGGGCGGGGTCGGCGGCGCATGCGCGTCGCCATGGTGACGCCCATCCCTCCTCCCCGGTTGCCATGGAGATGAAGGACCATCCCCATCCTCGAGCGTTGCCGTGGAAACGGCTCCCCCCCATCTGTCTGCCATCATCATCATCATCATCATCATCATCATCATCATCAGGGTCGCCATGGAACCGCCCCCAGAGTTGCCATGGAAACCACAGCGTGGGGGGATGGGTGGAGGGGATCCCCCTGGAGATGGAACATCCCCCAGCCAACCCTGTTACCATGGAAACGGGATTCCCATCCATCTCCCTGGTTACCATGGAGATGGACCACCCCCACCCAACCCTGTTGCCATGGAAACAGGATTGTCCCCATCACCCCCTTGGGGTTGCCATGGAGATGGATCAGCCCCTCCCCCCCATCCACCTGTTATTTGTTGGCCATACGGCAGCCCCCTCCCCCAATTCCACATCTCCATGGAAATCAATCCTTTCCACTCATGTTGCCATGGAAACGGGATAACACACCCCACCCTGGTTACCATGGAAACGGGATAACACACCCCACCCTGGTTACCATGGAAACGGGATAACACACACCCTCCTGGTTACCATGGAGATGGGATAACCCACACCCTCCTGGTTACCATGGAAACGGGATAACCCACACCCCCCTGGTTACCATGGAGATGGGATAAGCCACACCCTCCTGGTTGCCATGGAGATGGGATAACCCACACCTCCTGGTTACCATGGAAACGGGATAACACACCCCCCTGGTTACCATGGAGATGGGATAACCCACACCCTCCTGGTTACCATGGAAACGGGATAACCCACCCCACCCTGGTTACCATGGAGATGGGATAACCCACACCCCCCTGGTTACCATGGAAACGGAGCCTTCCCAACCCTGTTCCCATGGAAATGGACCCTTCCCACCTGTTGCTGTTGCCATGGAAACGGGATTCCCATCCACCTCCCTGGTTACCATGGAGATGGACAACCCCCCCATCCAACCCTGTTGCCATGGAAACGGGATCATCCCCACCACCCCCTGGGGTTGCCATGGAGATGGATCACACAACCCCCCATCCACCTGTTGTTGTTGCCATGGAAACGGCCCCTCCCCTCCCCATTCCACGTCTCCATGGAAACCGATCCTTTCCCACCCATGTTGCCATGGAAACGGGATAACACACCCCCCTGGTTACCATGGAGATGGGATAACCCACACCACCCTGGTTACCATGGAAACGGGATAACACACCCCACCCTGGTTACCATGGAGATGGGATAACCCACACCCTCCTGGTTACCATGGAGATGGGATAACCCACACCCCCTGGTTACCATGGAAACGGAGCCTTCCCAACCCTGTTCCCATGGAAATGGACCATTCTTACCTTTGTTGCCATGGAAACGGGAGTCCCATCCATCTCTCTGGTTACCATGGAGATGGACAACCCCCATCCAACCCTGTTGCCATGGAAACAGGATTCCCATCCACCTCCCTGGTTACCATGGGGATAAACCACCCCCATCCAACCCTGTTGCCATGGAAACAGGATCCCCCTCCCTCCCCCATCCTGGTGCTGCCATGGAAACGGGATCATCCCCACCATCCACCTGTTGTTGTTGCCATGGAAACGGGATTCCCATCCACCTCCCTGGTTACCATGGGGATGGACCACCCCCATCCAAACCTGTTGCCATGGAAACGGGATCATCCCCATCACCCCCCTGGGGTTGCCATGGAGATGGATCAGCCCCTCCCCCCCCAATCCACCTGTTGTTGTTGCCATGGAAACGGCCCCTCCCCCTCGGTTGCCATGGAGACAGAGCCCGCCCCTCCCCATCACCATGGAAACCACAAAACCCCCAAATCCCCTCAAATCCCACAATCCCCAAAACTCTGCCCCCAAAGACGCCCCAGACCCCTCCCCAGGTCACGTGATCCCCCCCAGGTGACAGAGGTGACACAGGTGATGCTCGTGGGCCACGCCCACCTTTAAATAGGAGCCAATAAATACTGTACAATAAATTACCCGAATTTACACCGGGGGTCCTGGGGGTCCCAGAGAGTTTTGGGGGTCCCAGGGGGTTTTGGGGGTCCTGGGGGGTCTTAGGGGGTCCTGAAGGGTCCCAGGGGATTTTGGGGAATCCTGGGGGTCCCAGGGGTTTGGGGGTCCTGGGGGTGTCCCATGTGGTCCTGGGGGTCCCAGGGGGTTTGAGGGGTCCTGGGGGTCCTAGTGGGGTTTTGAGGGGGCCTGGGGCCAGGTGGTCCTGGGGTCCCACAGGGAGGTTCTGGGGGTCCTGGGGGGTCCCAGGGGGTTTTGGGGGTCCTGGGGTGTCCTGGTGGTCTGGGGTCCCAGGAGGGGTTGAGGTGTACTGGGGGTCCCAGAGGAGGTTTGGGAATTCTGGGGGGTCCCAGGGGTTTTGGGGGATCCTGGAGATGTCCTGGGGGTCCTGGGGGTTCCTAGGGGGGTTCTGGGGGATCCTGGGGGCTCCCAGGGGAGTTTTGGGGGTCCTGGAGATGTCCTTGGTGGTCCTGGGGGATGCCGGGGAGCTGAGGTGTCCTGGGGGTCCCAGGGAGGTTTGGGGGGGTCTGGGGGTCTCAGGTGGGTCCTGGGGGCTCCCAGGGGGTTTTAGGGGTCCCTGGGGAGTGCTGGGGGTCCCAAATGGTCCCAGGGGTGTCCCAGGGGGGGTTCTGGGGGATCCTGGGTGGTCCAAGAGCTGTCCCAGGGGCTCCCAGGGGGTTTTGAGGGGTCCTGGAGGGTCCCAGAGGGGTTTTGGGGGTCCTGGGGGTGTCCTGGTGGTCCTGGGGGTTCCAGGGGGTTTGAGGGGTCCTGGGTGGTCCTGAGGGGTCCCAGGGGAGTTTTGGGGAGTTCTGGGGGTCCTGGGGGTCCCAGGAGGAGTTTGAGGTGTCCTGGGGTCCCACAGGGGGTCCTGGGGATTCCTGGGGGTCCCAGGGAGGGTTTGGGGATCCTGGGTGGTCCCAGGAGGTTTTGAGGTGTCCTGGGGGTCCCAGGGGATTTTGGGGGTCCTGGGGGTCCCAGAGGGGCTTTAGGGGATCCGGGGGTCCAGTGGGAATTTTGGGGGTCCTGGGGATGTCCTGGGTGGTCCTGGGGGTCCCAGGGGATTCTGGGGGTCCTGGGGTCCTGGGGTCCCAGAGGCTCCCAGGGGGATTCTGGGGGGTCCTGGGGGTCCCAGGGGGTTTTGAGGTGTCCTGGGGTCCCAGGGGGTTTTGGGGATCCTGGGGGTCCCAGGGGGTTTGGGGGATCCTGGGGGTTCCCAGAGGGGCTTTGGGGGATCCTGGGGGTCCAGTGGGAGTTTTGGGGGTCCTGGGGATGTCCTGGGTGGTCCTGGGGGTCCCAGGGGCTCCCAGGGGGTTCTGGGGGTCGTGGGGGGTCCCAGGAGGAGTTTGAGGTGTCCTGGGGGTCCCACAGGGAGGTTTTGGGGGGTCCTGGGGGTCCCAGAGGAGTTTTGGGGTATCCTGGGGGTCCAGGAAAGGTTTGAGGGGTCCTGGGCAGTCCCAGGGAGATTTTGGGGGTCCTGGGGGTCCCAGGGGGTTTGGGGAGTCCCAGGGGGTGTTTTGAGGTGTCCTGGGGGGTCCCAGGGGAGTTTTGGGGGTCCTGGGGATCCCAGGGGCTTTGGAGGGTCCTGGGGGTCCCAGGGAGATTTTAGGGGGTCCTGGGGGGTCCCAGGGGGTTTGGGGAGTCCCAGGGGGTGTTTTGAGGTGTCCTGGGGGTCCCGGGGTTTCAGCCCCTCGATTCCAGTGACCTGTGGGGTGAGAATTGGGGAGGAGGGTCAGTGGGTTTGGGGATTTGGGGGAATTTGGGGGATTTGGGGGGAATTTGGGGGAATTTGGGGGTTTGGGGTGATTTGGGGGATTTTGGGGGTTTGGGGGGATTTGAGGGGATTTGGGGGAATTTGGGGGTTTGGGGGTGATTTGGGGGATTTTGGGGGATTTAGGGGATTTTGGGGGAATTTGGGGGTTTTAGGGTGATTTTGGGGATTTTGGGGGGATTTGGGGGGATTTTGGGGGGATTTTGGGGAATTTGAGGGGTTTGGGGTGATTTTGGTGGATTTTGAGGGGATTTGGGGGTGATTTTGGGGATTCTGGGGTATTTTGGGGAGTTGGGGAAGGGTGGGGGTGCAGGTTTGGGGTGACATTTGGGGGGTGGTGAAGAATTTGGGGTTCAGGACTTTGGCGGGGGGTCAAGATTTTGGGATCTCAGGGGTTTGGGATCTCAGGGGTTTGGGATGTGAAAGTTTTGGGGTCTCAGGGATTTTGGGATCTCAGGGGTTTGGGGTCTCAGGATTTTGGGGTCTCAGGGATTTGGGGACAGAGAGATTTTTGGGACTCAGGGATTTGGGATGTCGGGGATTTGGGATCTCAGGGGTTTGGGGCCTCAGGATTTTGGGATCTCAAGGATTTTGGGGCTCAGGGGTTTGGGATCTCAGGGGTTTGGGATGTGAAAGTTTTGGGGTCTCAGGGATTTGGGGGTCTCAGGGATTTGGGGACAGGGAGATCTTTGGGATCTCAGGGATTTGGGATCCCAGGATTTTGGGGTCTCAGGGATTTGGGGACAGGGAGATCTTTGGGATCTCAGGGATTTCAGGACTCAGGGATTTTGGGGTGTCAGGATTTGGGGTCTCACGAGTAGCTGTGGTGCTGGCACCGCCGGGTTTGGGACGGGGATTGTGGAGTCTCAGGGATTTTTGGAGTTCAGAGATTTTGGGAACAGGGAGATCTTTGGGACTCAGGGATTTTGGGACATGGGGATTTCAGGACTCAGGGATTTGGGGTTCAGGGATTTGGGGGTGCCAGGGTTTTGGGGTCTCACGAGTAGCTGTGGTGCTGGCGCCACCGGGTTTGGGATGGGGATTTTGGGATCTCAGGGATTTGGGAACAGGGAGATCTTTGGGACTCAGGGATTTGGGATCTCAGGGATTTGGGATCTCAGGGATTTGGGGTGTGAGGTTTTGGGGTCTCACGAGTAGCTGTGGTGCTGCCAGAGCCGGGTTTGGGACTGGGATTTTGGGTCTCAGGGATTTTGGGACATGGGGATTTCAGGACTCAGGGATTTCAGGACTCAGGGATTTGGGATCTGAGGGGTTTGGGGGTGTCAGGGTTTTGGGGTCTCACGAGTAGCTGTGGTGCTGGCACCGCCGGGTTTGGGATGGGGATTTTGGGATCTCAGGGATTTTGTGATCTCAGGGATTTTGGGGCTCAGGGATTTTGGGACATGGGGATTTCAGGGCTCAGGGATTTGGGGGTGCCAGGGATTTGGGGTCTCACGAGTAGCTGTGGTGCTGCCAGAGCCGGGTTTGGGATGGGGATTTTGGGATCTCAGGGATTTTGGGACAGGGAGATCTTTGGGACACAGGGATTTTGGGACATGGGGATTTCAGGACTCAGGGATTTGGGATCTGAGGGGTTTGGGGTGCCAGGGATTTGGGGTCTCACGAGTAGCTGTGGTGCTGCCAGAGCCGGGTTTGGGACGGGGATTTTGGGATCTCAGGGATTTTGGGATCTCAGGGATTTTGGGATGTCAGGGATTTTGGGACATGGGGATTTCAGGACACAGGGATTTCAGGGCTCAGGGTGTTTGGGGCTCAGGGATTTGGGGGTGTGAGGTTTTGGGGTCTCACGAGTAGCTGTGGTGCTGGCGCCGCCGGGTTTGGGACGGGGATTTTGGGATCTCAGGGATTTTGGGATCTCAGGGATTTCGGAACAGGGAGATCTTTGGGACTCGGGGATTTTGGGATGTGGGGATTTCAGGAGTCAGGGATTTTGGGGGACAGGTTTTTGGGATCTCAGGATTTGGGGTCTCACGAGTAGCTGTGGTGCTGGCGCCGCCGGTTTGGGATGGGGATTTTGGGATCTCAGGGATTTGGGAACAGGGAGATCTTTGGGACGTGGGGATTTCAAGACTCAGGGATTTTGGGGGACAGGCTTTTGGGATCTCAGGATTTGGGGTCTCACGAGTAGCTGTGGTGCTGGCGCCGCCGGGCCGTGCGGAGCTTCTCGAACCGCGCCTCCATCTCCTCCAGCACCCGCGGCGTGTAACGAACCACCAACTTCACCGAGCCCTGCGCCGCCTTCAGCAGCTCCACCGCCCGCTCGTGCTGCTCCCCCTCCACGCTCTGCACCCCAAAAACATCCCTGGGACCCCAAAAAACATCCACACCCGAAAAAACCCCATCGGAACACCCAAACCCCACCGGAACCCAAAACCCTTCCCGCCTTCAGCAGCTCCACCGCCCGCTCGTGCTGCTCCCCCTCCACGCTCTGCGCCCCAGAAATGAACCTGGCACCCCAAAAATCACCCACACCACGAAAAAACCCCATCCGGAACACCCAAACCCCACCCGGACCCCAAAACCCTGCACTGCCTTCAGCAGCTCCACCGCCCGCTCGTGCTGCTCCCCCTCCACGCTCTGCACCCCAAAAACATCCCTGGGACCCCAAAAATCATCCACACCCCAAAAAACCCCACCCAGACCCCAAAACCACCCAGACCCCAAAAACCCTGCCTGGAACAGCCAAACCCAACCAAATCCTTCCCTGCCTTCAGCAGCTCCAGCACAGTTTGTGCTGCTCCCCCTCCACGCTCTGCACCCCAAAAATGAACCTGGGACCCCAAAAAATACCCACACCCTGAAAAAACCCCACCCGGATCCAAAAGCCC